CCTCTTTGTCTCTGTGACCCGTCGTCCTAACAGAAAGGGCAGGAGCGCTTGTTTTATTTCCCCTAAACTGAGTCATCACCTTTTAGGATAACAGCCTAAATCCAGTCAAAAATGGAGTTGGGGAGAAAAATCCAAAAGAAGAGAAGAAATCACTCACCATTGCAGAATTACTCCAATCTGCCTATTAGCGCTGATTGATCATTAAACACTAAATAAATTAACTAACTTATTTATTCAACTTGTATTAAACCAGACAAAATCCACTGAGAAAAAAAACATATTTTTCAATGGCCAATTGGCCACGAGGGCAGCAAAGTTAAACGTCAAATGCATGTCTATTTCATACAGACAATAAAAGAAAAACATTGCATTCAGTCTGGCATTGTTGCAAGAACAGTTTGTGGTTAAAACTTGTGATGACTTTTGTTTAAAAATGGCTAACAAGAGGAGGGACTCTAGAATAAGTCTAGCCTGAATATCATTCCAGGACCAGAAAGAAACCTTTTTTCAAGACTGCACAGGTAGCACCCTAAAGCACAGCAAATGATTGGACCTAAGATTATAGGTATTGTGTACAAACTTCTACATTTGTACATGAGTAACATGGCCTTTGTACATTAAGTCTGTCTCTAAGCAGTAGTTTAAATCCAAATAGCAGTGCATCACTGCATTTAAACAGCTAGAAAACGGTCATGTTTGGGGGGGTTTTGCTTGAAAAATGACTTTAAATCTGATTATCGAAAAAGTCGTCAATTAATTTGCCGTTGCTAGAACGATCAATGAATCAACGAATCATTTCAGCTGAAGTTGTATACATGTGTTAACTGAATACATTTGGATTTTGGACCATTAGTCAGAAAAAAGAAGCGATTTGAAGAGGCCACCTTGGACTCTGGAAATGTGTGTAGACTAAACGAGATGGAAATAATTCAACGCTGTAGCCCTGCTAACTATCATCAATCTAGGCCTGATTTTGTGAAACTTAATTAGTTGCAGCAAAACAAGTCCTGGGATAATATTAATAAGAGGCAACCTGGGTTGTCTTTTAATCAAAGACACTGTTGTTTCCCGTGTTGATCTTATTAAATTCTGACATGGCACCACCAAGGAGGAAGAAAGTAGCTCATTGCTTTAATTAAGTGGCTCCTCCTGAATGTTCTGCCACCGGCTTTTTTTTTTTATTTCCCTCATTTCTTCACCAATAAAATTCTTCTGCGCTGAGTGAAAGACACACGTTGGGTGATAAGCCTCGTTAGTGTTCAAGCTGAAAAGTATGCAGTGTTCAATTACTATTGTACAATGAGATATTTGTAGGAAAAAAGGGAAATTAGACACACAAGCAGACAGACACAGTGAACACAGAGTCATAAAACTGTGTGTGTGTGTGTGTGTGTGTGTGTGTGTGTGTGTGTGTGTGTGTGTGAACGCGCGCGTTCGTTCATTCATTCATTCGATCGCTGACCTTTTCCCATCACAGGACACCACCACAAATGTGACTGAGCCAACATGCTAACAAAGAGCCACCAACACAGAGGAGACAAGAATAGCATTTATCATCACATCTTAGAGAGGAAACGCTGACGTAGGAGAAAGTTTGGCCTTTCAAATAAAAGTAAATGCCATGAACAATGTGTCCAACAATAAATACTTTGAAACTAATAAAGCAGGCAAACCTAACAACTAAATGAGTAAGAAATGCCATCACAAACCTCCACTTATTTCCACCATAATTGAACTTAATCGCGTGACATTGTCTTGACACTAACTCGGTGATGTATTGAAATACCTTATTTTCATAATCTTCCATGCAGGAAAAGTCCCTCCACAGATGAAACTACTGTGAAACTAACTTTGACTTCACAGAGTATTCTAGAGAGGGAAAAGAACCTCACCTGAACAGGTTCTCAGCTCCGGCTCTCATGCGCATCTCCTTGTTGATCTGCTGGTTGATGCGAGCCCGCCGGTGCTGCAGTTTACTGCGCTGAGTCTGGGTGAAAGGATCACATCCCTGCAGAGGAAATGAAGAAATGGAGCCGTCAAGAGAAGAGACTATTTTAAGCGTTGAAGATGCGACGTCCGTTTGTACTTGAGGTGCCCGGGTAAGACATCCAAAAAGCCAAGTCTCTTATAGGGAAGTTCACAGTTGCGAATGACCAGTTGGTCTGTTAATTAAAGCCGCCGTTCATCACCTTACCAGAGCCCTTTTCCCACTGCACAAAAAACCCCACTAGTACCCACCAACATCTGGCTTTTGTCTTTTCTGCAAAACGGTACAATCAGCATTAATTTGCAGGACAAATGAGTCTGCAGTACGGGTATCCAGCTCCAACTGGCAGTGATGGAAACATGACTCCCAGGTGGACATTCATTTTTGGACAACTGCGCAAATCTATGTGACGCGTGTTGTGGTGAAAATATAATAAATAAAATCAATAGGGATTTGGACAGTTACTATAATTTTGTTAACGTACAAAACACACAACGTATATGCTCTCCTCAAAGCAAACAGGTTCCAGTCAGACAACAGTAGTTTCACCTCACTGATCAATGAGATTCGCTTCATTCATACCAGACAGAAACTAAATAAATCTCATAAAAAACAAAACATCTTTAGTAGTCTTTCCATTGTTCCAACAATGACCAACCCTGTTTTGAGAGTTTGAAGAGAGCGACTGAGTTAGTAACAGATGAAAGAAGTAACCAATGTCACATTTTCATAGCGCGTTTGTGACTTAGAACATGACACAGCAGACGTTCTGAACATAAACAGGAATAAATGACAAGGCCACAACGTGGCCTTAACGCCAACTTTAACCATCAGTGAACTACGGCATTTTATTTGTACGGCTCATATGGTGGCAGTACAGTACAGCGCGGACAGAAAGCTGACTGAACGACTTTACTTCACAACAAAACGTCTGTGCAGTGTGCCAAGAGATGATGGGTGTGTCAAAGGGCGTGTCAGAGAAGAGGGAGCTCCTTGTGGATGCTAAACATGGCAATGAGTTGGCACGGTAAGGCAGGAGGAGAACCTTCTTCCCAGAAGGATAAATATGTTTAGCAGAATATGTCAGAGCTGTGCATCTGTCTGAAGATTTAAAGGCCTCTTAAGTCTCGCTTCAAGAGGCATTTTGACAACAACGCCAGAACAGCTGATTGTTACATGTCTGCTCCCTAAAATAGCAGTCCATCATACAGCGCACCACTGTTTCACACTGAAAAGGTAAACAGATGTACAGCAGCATGACAGATGGAGCAGCTGTACTGTAAACATGCTGAACCCTCCCTTTCTTTGTCCTTGTGCCTCCTTCCATCGCCTTCTTGCAGACAACTTGTGTACATGGATGTTTTTCATTCCCCCCCCCCCCCCTTTATCTTTCTCGTTCCCTCTCACCCAGTTAAGGTGTTTGTTTAGCATGCGCACGACAAGTAATCCTCAGAGTGCCTGTGTGGATTAGGACCGTGGCCAAGCTCCCACCTGTGCTGAACCATCAGGAGGGCAGCCGGATGGAGGCTGCTCAACATCAGTGCCGACACGGTCTAAAAACCTGTGTCAAAAAAAAAAACCTTCTACACCCAGGGGACTTTCTCTAAGCACACATTGTTTTTCAGCTGCACAGATATGTAAAATTATAAGTCTTCCACTCCAGCAGCAGAAGGTGAAGTGGCTTGTTTAAGGGCACCATGTGAGTGATCATTCATTTTCCCCATGCAAACCAGAGATTCAATACACTGTGGGAAAATACCATGAATGTTGCCTGATATACTGCACTTATACTATTAGTGTTATGATATCAGTGTTGGTTTCACTGCATAAGTTGTGAGATCTCCTCCTCTGCAGTTTCTCATGCCACTTTAATACAAAAGGAGGTGATCGAAATTATATTTCTGTTGCTAAAAACACAATGTGTGAAATGAGATTTAACATTTCAGCTATAATGTACACTTCCAAACACACTTTCTCTGTAACTCTACAGACTTCCCTGTCAACATGTTTACTGATCAAATAGTCTCGATAGAAAACAGTTAACGGTGAGGTTTGTGGATTATCCAGAGGAAGCAGGCAAGCATTTCTTGAAAGACACTTTCCTGTTGCGTTTTGCAAATGCTCCTTTTGATTTTTCTTTTAACTCCACAATCAAAATTGCATTCAACTCCACTGTATCGAGGGGCTGGTGTCTCCAAACTGTAGGCAAATACAGCCGATAATACTAGAGGTACGTGAAAGAATATGTGTTGTTGTCTTTTGTTTTGCTCTTAATAATGGGGGGGGGGGATTTTATAGACTGCCTAAGGATCCAGGTTAAGTATTGTTTATGTTATTTAACCTAATTATCACTCAAGATATTAAAAGATGGAGGGACTACAGAATGGCATCAGGATTTATAACGTCCAAAGTTTACAGTTAGCTTAAAGTTACTGTTGTTTTCATGGATCACCTATAGGACCTATGGGGGATCTCAAGGACCCCATCAGACCCTTTCCTCGTGTTTACCACCTACCCCGACTGTGTGTATTTATATAACGTTACGTGCCTGAGTGTGTGTGTTGTGTGTGTGCGTGTGTCCAGGTGTCTCACCTTTCGGATGCTTCCACTGAGGCTGCCATCTGTGGGTAACGTTAAAGGCAAATCGTCGTCCGAGGTAACGTTACCGTCTGACAGGGACATCTCCAACTCACTGCGGACAGTAACGGTGATGTAAATATCATTTAACTCAAAAGTGTCACTTTTTAGACTTAACCTACTTGATATATATTACCCGGTATGTTAAACACAACTCTAAGCTTTTTAAATATTATTGAATAATCAGTACCACGCCAAAAATATTTAACTTAGAGGGTAAATTAAGTTTGCAAACGAGTCACGGTTTCACCACTTGCCTTGTTGCAGGTTCCTCCATCGTGAGGCAACGACAAAGGCGGCCAAAAAGTCCCTACATTTCTTCCAACTTTGTGTAATTCCAAGTAAACACAAAGCCTTAACGGTCAGCCGATACTAGAGTTAAAAGAACAACTTTTAACTCCTCAAAACAACCCAGCTTCAACTCATTGCATTACGCTAGCACCTCCTCTGCTCTCCTTTTTTTTCCGACTTGTGTGCAGCTGCAAGAGTTTATTCACCGAGGCGGGCCGTGAATGAAAAGGATATCCAATCACGTTGCAGCTTGTGAGAGCGACGGTAGATTTAACCAATCAAGTGGAGAATTAGGGATGATTGACAGCGTCATCTGACCAATAACAAGTCGCTCCAGGCGTCCCACTACTCCGCGGCTCGTTGCTATGGCACCGACCGGGCTGTGGCTGGTGTGTGGGCTCCAAAGAGATTAGAAGCTCCGCCTCCTAAAAACTGAAAACACGACTATAAAGATTATAGCTTCATTTTTATTTATTTATTGGTGGTGATTTCTGAATTACTTTGAGTTCCCTTGCAGTTTTTTTGTTTCTCTAATATATAGGAAGAGTTAGTGTGTCGGTCCAGTTCGGTCATAACACCCCACTTAATGGAAATGCTCTGCAGATACTCCAAAAAGGAGAGATGATGTGACACTTTACATTACGTATTTATTGCTAATTATTCCCTTTAAAGGTAGGGTCCTTTCCTTATATGGTTATAATTATTGATTTAAAAAATATATATGAATAAAACCACACAGAACACAGTGAATGGGCTATACAATTAACATTTCACTGTGCAACCCTGTGTAGTAAAATGACAAATAAATTAAACAATATAACCTTCCAACCTTGTATATGTTTTTGGTTGTTGTTGTTTTTCCCCAGGCTCTCAGTCTGACAAACAGTGGACATCATTCACACAGTCTCAGGAATAATCCCTGTGCAATAACCCTTGAACACTAAACATCTACTGTGCCTATAAATTGAATATCTTTATTGTTCAAATACAGTCTCTTTAAGATGTTCATATCATAACTGCCAAATGTAAATCAAAGCATGATGTATACTGTCATATTCCTCTGTTGTACTGCATGTATATAAAGCAACATTAATCTATCCGTGTTTATTGTGCTATTGTCTCACTGTTTACACATTTCTTTGATGTTTTACTCACACAGTATGTACACTGTGTACAGTGTTTACATTTTAAATATATATATCAATATTTATGTATCTAGCCTACAGTAATCAGATGTTATGTGTAAGTTTGTTCAGCTTTGTTTCATTTTTTTTCTATTTATGCTTATAAGTTCGCCACATTGAGATAAATGAAAAGAACTCAAGTCAGAATCGTTGTATGTGTAGGCTACGCATACTCGATGTATGGTCCCAAAACGGTGCATGGTATTTGCACAACAACATCCAGTCCAAGTCAGTGTTGGATCCAGGTCACCAAGCATCATCAAGTAGTATGACTTTCTCAGTTGTCTATATAACTGTCTTTTGATTACATTTCTGTACTAAAACGTGTTCTTGCTTACAAATCCGTCGGTACACAGCACACACTCCCAGATCATTTGCTGGAGGATTACTGCTTGAATTGGTTTTGTGCTTGTTCAACAATTTGGTATTTGAAAAAACCTCTACAATGGATCGTAACGCAGAGCCATACATTGTGAGTCCAACTCCTGGCTGGCCCAGAATCTCACATTTTAGTCCTCCAGTGTCTGACTGGATGATTATCACATCATTGTTTCCTTCCTCACAATGACACCAGTTTCTCAGCAATCTTTTCCAAACTTACACAGCATTATTGTCTACTAATTCATCCTGATTCAATTTATTTTAGTTCCATGCATTCGGACACAACTTCATTGTTTAAGGATGGTATAAACATAATAAAATGACCTGAAGTCATTCGGTCTTTCTGTACATTGTTGCGGTCGGACAAAGGTTACTGCTCCACAAGTTGCCATTGCAAAACAAAAAATATCTGTTTGTATACAGTATTGAACCTTTATTATTAAATCTACTTTATATCAAGTATATTTAGATTTTTTAGACTTCAATCTTTTATTATGCTAAATTAATTTTACCCATCCTTATGTCTATGTATTCCTTCTTCTGGTCTATAGCAGCGATTGAAATAAAGAAATAACACAATGTAAGAAATCGACATTACAAGAAAAAAGTCCTGCATTCTAAATTGCCTCAGACATTTGCCTCGGAAAACTTGTCAAGTGATAAGAAAATGTGAAGATGGCAATGAAATTGTATGCTGTACACAAGAGTATGTTGTTGATGGATAGATTTATTAAACATGATGCTTCAAATTCCCTAAATCAATTTCCGAATGAAGGCACTTAATTTAACTCAAACTTAATAAGACAAATGATCACTGCTTTTCAGTATATTACACATTTGGTTCCATCAAGGTGCTCTCTGCAGGTTCTTTGTCATTTGGCCACTTGGGGGCACTTTTACCCTTTCAAGTAAATATCACACTGTGTTCCTCTAAACACTTGTACACGCTAACATTTTGAACATATTTGAAATTTCCCAAATGCTATGAAAGTTGGCAACGTTTTGGGGTCCAATACACAAATTAAAATGATAATTCACGAGGACTAGTTAATAAATTATCAGCTACTAAACTGCAAAATTAAATCAGATATCTTAACTCATGCTTTTGCCTCTTCGTTAAACTGAAGCAGAATTATCCCACTCAGTTTGAACATGTTTGCAGGCGACTGTGGCTAAGTGGAGAGCATGTCGATGTGTCCTTGAGCTCCCGTAGCTGTGCCTACGGTGTGATAGCGTCTGAATTGTAAATTGCTTTGGATAAAAGTGTCTGCTAAATGACTGTAAAGCAACAGCAGAGTCAAAGCCAGATTTAATGGGTGTGAATCAAAATGCTCCACGATCACACCAACTGAAGCTCACTCACATAAACCTTTCTCCTACAAGGAAAATCGAAACAAAATTATGACATTTACTTAAACTTTTTGCCACTCGGCGTGACATTTTCAAACAATCAATCATTTAGTGTGGTTTGCTTTCTTTTAGCACAAACAATAAGGATCTGTTGTCACGGGGAACATTGTCTCCGTTTAGTTAAAGCTCTCCTCAAAGTCAAGTGACAACGATGAAGATTTGATCAGGCTATAAAGGATTAGAATAAAACAGAATAGAATAGATTTTATGCATCATTTGGTGATCATTTGAATCAGAGTAAAGGGCTTTTAAAACTAATGTCCTCCAAACTGTCTAATTATCTGGAGGCTTTGTCTTAATCTGTCTTGTCATAATCTTATAAATATCGAGTCCCCTAAAAACCACAACTTGTTTCTTGTGTCTGCTTGTTCTTTTGCGTGATACAATGTGTTAATTAGTGAACTTTTGAGGATGCTTCAACGTTGGACAGAGCCAGGCTAGCTTTTCCCCCCTGCTTTCAGTCTTCATGCTAAGCTAGCTATCTTGATTCAAGCTATGTACCTAATGTACAGACATGGGATTAATAGTGAATTAAGTTTACTCCCCAAAAATGTTGAAAAAGTAGTCTTGTAATACTTTTTCAGTGACAGTAAATGGAGTGTCTTACCCACTGAATCATAAAATGTGAACTTGGTTGACAGAACTGAATAGATTAGAATTATAGAATGATTCAACTGCATCATAATAGTTTTTTAATGTATTTATTTTTATTTGAATGAGTTTGCACGTAAACCTATCTGTACCTGCTTATCCTTCACAGGGCGGCCGGAGCAAATCCCAGCTGACATAGGGCGAGAGGCGTAGTACACCCTGGACAGGTCGACAGGCAAATCCAGGACTGACACACATATAAAGAGACAGAGAACTATTCATGCTCACATTCTCACCTACAAGCAATTTAGTGTCAACATTTAACCTACTCTGCAAAGAAGGGCTGAAGCCAGACAGCAGGTTCAAACCCAGAACTTGCTGTGAGGCTAAACTGCAGCTTAGGTTAGGTTTGTACTTGTGACAGAGCATTTCTACGGTGTGGTATCAGTAGGCTACTTTTACGATCAGAGTCCTTGATCCACCACTGATCTTCAAAATGTAATACAACTATATTTGCTGGCTAATAAGCTAGTAATCACCTCTGGCCTTTTCTAAAAAAAAAGTTCAACTTTAGTAGGCATGTAAAAAAATGAGCCTGCTGGAGGCTGAGGTCCTGTCTGGTGACTGTAGAGGCTGCATTGAGTAGCAGGACTAGTCAAGCAAGGTGACAGCTCTTGGGACGAAGCTGCTGAGGTGACTGGAGGTGTCACTAAGTGAGCAAGCGGAAGGTTTTTGGAACAGATGGTTAGCTGGTGGGCAGGGTCGCTGGCAATTCTTGCTGCTCTTTCATTAGCACCTGTGTCATCTGCCTCTTTAACGGTAAGGGCAGCTGACAAGTAACAACAGAGGTATGGGTAACACGCTGGATTAATTAAATACATTGTCTTCCTGATGTTCTCCTTTGGAGTTAGTGTTTTTCTGCTTGCTTTGATAATGTGAAGGTGAATAAATCTGTTGAAAATCATTGCTGAGACGTTGATTTTCAGTCAAAAACTGATTGTAAATATTCCAGTTTTAAATGTTTCAAAAGCCATGCACTCAAGTGATAAATCCTGTCTTTCAGATGGTAATACAATTACCGGCTCTGTTTGTCTTGTGTTGTCCTTTTTGTTTCAGATAAAAAATAAAAACAAAACTAGAGTCTACAGCTCTGTAAGGCTGCACTTATACAGCAGTGCTTTGAGCTAAATGCAGCAAGAGTCACAGAAAACTTTACTCGAGTAAAAAAATGTTGTTGTTCTTCAAAGAAAGTTTACAAGATAATCACAACCCTCTGGATAACATAAACACAACATTTACTCTGAGAAGAAGCTGCAGGTGTGTCTGCAGCCGCAGACACCGGAGGGGTGACACTCTGGAAAACCATTAGCCTCAGAGACGGTTCAGAAAGGGGTTAGGGTTAGGCATTTCAGCCGGGACCGACTAACTCTGCGCCACTAGCATGGTTGAATGTATTAAACATTAGTGGAATCCCACCAGGGTTGGCTCGAGATGTGTTGGAATCCTAAGTAGAATTTTATGACACATTATGGCCTTTTTCCATTGATATCATATTACACGTGAGAGCAGTGTGCCGTGCTCATTAATATTTCCACTGCATCCTCACAGCAGTTGGTCACTGCATTGAAGAACATCTGAGACTGGAAGTTGTCGAGGGAGGAAGAGCATACTGCAGCGTGCATCTTCAAGGTCAAGTTTCATCTATGGTTTTTAAAGTTTTATAATAAAGATGCAAGCTGTGCATCAACGATGTTCTCCTCTGTTCGGTGATACAAGGAAATATTATTTTAATGCTTTACTGGACGCCACCACTGAAATAACATTTTTATACTATTGTCTCTTTGACCTTACTCTGACATTTAAGACTGCCCTTCACTGTTACTGTGATTTTGATTCAAGTAAAGAAAAGCGTGAACGAAAAGGGCTGATAATGATTACTTATAGCTAATTGATCAATACAGATTGTTTTCAGCTCGTCAGTTTTACTGATTTCAATTTAAAATGTATTTACTGTGGAGCTAAAAAGATACATCTGCAAACTTATGTATCTTATTACATAGAATTATTACTCAAAATACAGGCAAATCATGTAATAATCTCACACCGTATAATGGGAAATAAATGAAAACATCATACAACAATATTAAAATGTGATATATTAAATCAACAAATGTGTCTGGCTGTTTGCTCAAAGTACAGCTCTCTCTCTCTCTCTATGAAAACTCCATGGACCTTGATTTTTTTCAGTGTCCACACTCATTTATTATTTGATAGAAGGCATGTGCACTTACCCAGAGGTCAAAGTCAGTATCTGATATGAAAATAATAAATAAGTGATTAAAAACATTTTTGCCCAAGACTATTTATTAGATGACTTTAAAGTGATTGACGGCATCCACGTGAACAAAAATGCCATCCGAAACATCTGGGAAATTAGCGCTGCTGCAGAGTTAAACATCATTGTATTATGTTACACTTAAAATAGGTCTCTATTCAAGTATCACTCGGTTTCAACCCAATTATGTGCATGTATAAATCTGAGACAAAAATATAGTTCATTATAACATAGAACAGGCTGCCAATTTATGTGTAAGTTGTGATTCTATTCTGGTTTCAGTTGCCATAAAGAGTGTTATCTAACCCGTCTACTCTCCACTGAAGTTCAGTTTATCTTCCCAAACACACAGTTTACAGAAGCAGTGTATGCAGAGTATAATGATCACAGCATGCACAGACTAATAAGCCACATTCGTTGTAGCTCTGAGTGATGTCACAAACTCATCAGCAGCAGTATACATAGCCCTTAGAAGTGAGGTAAAAAAGGTAAACAAAGGCTTTGACATTAAGCCGTTTCACATGAAATATTAAACATTAAAGATAAACAAACAATGAACACTTTTTGCTTCAAAGGTGATGCCATGTTCAGACATTTAACCAGAAATGTGGAAAAATCATAACTTAAATGACTATGTTTGATTTGTTCTTTGCAATGGCTTCGATACTTTTATGTTTTGACTTTTTTTGCAATCAGGTGTAACCAGAGCTGTGAAAGGTGATTTAGCATGTGTTCACACCAAGCTAATAACACAACACTACAAAATGCTTTTATTTTATCATCGTGTAGTGAGTGTTTTGGCCCCAGTAATTACATCTTTATTACACAAAAAAAGGTGAACTCGTTAACATTTGTGGCCTTCCTGTGTCATTGGAGGTGCTTGATACGAATTTTACAATAATTACAAAAAACACTTTAAGTGTCTCACAGCATCCAGGGAAATATAAAGTTGTTGATGTGATTTTTGTTTTTTATGAAGGTGAAGTGTTTAACTGTGCAAGTAGCAATATTACAGTAAGCACTGATCGGCGTGTATTGTATATTCAGAGTGATTACTTACTGTTTTTGGTTACTGTGAACTGAATGCGTCACATTAACAAAGTGGTATTTTCACAAGGGGTCACTCAATGAGAAAAAACACAACAAAAAAACTCTTGTTTCTCTGCCTGCTTGTCCAAAAACAGCTGGAGCCGTCCTATCTAGCAATCTCCACAGAAAGGAGTCCGATCAGATACAAACATCATCATTCGATTCCTCCAATGTTCCAGCACAGGCTGACAATTCAAAGTCCAGTCTGGCCCAACATTACACAGGTATTACAGCCCACCTGCAGGTGATAAAACAGTGGATAGAGCTTCAATTCATGACAGACTTGAAAATCCACTTGAACAAGCAACGCAAGCAAACACGCCGCTTTACATCTCTCAAGATAGGTCGGAAGGTCGCAGGTTAAGTCCCAGAGTGGTTGTCCGGAGGTTGCTGCTGTAACGTCTCATCTATGGTGACTACTGTCTCCTCTGGTCTGTTGGAGCTCAGGCAGTTAGTGTGGTTCAGAGATATGTAGCTCATGTCCACCAGCCGGGGCCTCTCGTCCAACTCACTCATCTCGTTTGTGTTGTTGGAGATGCAGTTTATCTCAGTACTGTTGCAGTTAGTAACTCGACGAGAGCCAAACACCCAGTCTGAAGAGAGACAAAGGGATAGTAGTGGTGTTATTCTGGAAGTCAGTGCAAAGTTAACAATATAGGAAGGAAGGAGATTTTAGATTTTATTGTGTGAAGTAAGTAAAATTACTCAAGTGCTGTCAAGGGCATAGGTTTGGTTTCAGAAGTGATAAAGTGACGTCTGAAATTGTGTACGAAAGAGACGACCATCAAGATCCGATAGCATGCGTTCATCAGTTTCAACAAATAACTTGTACTAACCTCATGACTTTGCTGAAATTAGCTGATGTTAGCTATGCGTTAATTTGCTAATCACATTAGCTTAGATAACCTACACAGGTTAGGACATTAGCCTACAAGTCATTTGCTGCTTATTTGCTGTCTCTTATTTACCTTGGTGTTTTTGGTGGAGATTGTGCGGCATGGACATCATACAATGGAGATGGTGGCAAAAAAAGTACTCAGGAATTCAAGGTAACACGGGGAAAGTAATTGATACACCAAGACTATTTTGATGTTGTAGTTCATTAATCTAATGGGTAGATAACAACACTGCTATGCATGCATTGTATAAGCATATCATATCAAATTGCTTATTTTGTTTGACGAACAGTTGAAAGTGCAAAGTTATTCATCCCACCTTCAAACAATGCAGAAACATTCATATTTAGGAAGTTATCGCTCGCCAATGTTTGACACTTTGCTTGAAAAGTGACTCAACCAATTATCAAAGTAGTTGCCAATTAATTAAATTAAACTGACAAATTATTTCACCTTTAGATTAAGCTATACCAGTTACTTTACGTCTACAATCACATTCAACTCAAACAGAGCAAAAATATTGTGACTGTCTTACTTATCTAAAAACCTAAAAACTCCCCGAAAGAGTCTTTTTATCTTTAACTCATAATTTGTTACTTTCTGGTTAAAACCTGAATGTAGAATTTTTATGACAAGCCTTCACAGATGCAGCCTCAGCGAAATGTAGGTGCAAAGCTCCAACATTCAAGCACGGAGTAAAAAATAAGCTAACTGAGTATTCAGAACATGCACACAACATGACTGCAAACTTCATCTGACAGAAAGTTATGATGGGTTCAGCTTCTGTAATTCCATTAGAGGCAAAGCACCATCAAATTGTTTCTTGGGGAGAAGCCTGCATCGTGAGCGGTGGAGCCTGTATGAATTGGGACACATCAATCATTGTTCTGTCAGATGAGGAGCTGAGATTAAGGCTGACAGCCGTGAGTGTGAAGAACAGAAAGAAGCCAGAACGGGATTCCTCAGACCCACAGAACTGAAACATGACCACAAGGGACCACCTCACTTTCAAGTATCCTATCCCCCCCCCC